AACAAAAGGTCAGAATAAATTGTCAGGTTTCCCAGTGACGAGAGGTAAATGACGGGGTCCGTCAAGTATCTGTACTGTGACTAGAACTGTTCAATACAGTCATACATGATCTGTCAAAAGGGGTAAACATTCAGGAGGCAAAGTTTTCAGAAGATAGCGATCATAATTAATTTTGTAAGTCCAAAGCTAACTGTGCAGTTACAAAGGCATCACACTGAACTGCATGACTGGACCAAAAAATGGCAGATGGAATTCAATGTTGATAAATTCAAAGTAATGCACTTTGGTCAACACAATCCCAACTATACAGATAAAATGATGGCATCCAAATAAGCTGTTACCACTCAAGAAAAGATGTTGGCGTCATTGTTAATAGGTATTTGAAAACATCTGCTCAATATGCAGCAGCCGGCAAAAAAGCTAACAAGTTATGAACCATTAGGAAAGGCATCAATAATAAGTCAGAGAATATCCTAATGTCACTATTTAAACAACTTTAAGAAGTTCTGGTCAAATACAGTGACAAATACAGAGGTAAAATAACCTTTCTACTCCTAATTTAGATTCCTCAGCATCCCAGGATCACAATGGTCACAGCATCACTCTGAGATCCCACCTTAGGGATTCATTTTTATGAGGCTGCAAATGCCTGATTATCTTTTTCCTTATCAGAGAGGCATTTTCAGCTTGGCTGTAGCTAGGGTGAATTGAGAGACGATGTTAATAATGGAGCTGTTATTTCTGTGCTGCAAATACTTGAATGTCAGTACGGGCTGCATCTCTCTAAACTAGGACTCTCTGGATCAGTGTCCCACCAGACTGCGGGGGTGGGGGAGAGCTGGGAGTTGGATGGGGGAGGAAGGGAGGGAGGCGGGAGAATGCAGAGCCATGCAGCGCAGGGGGAGTAGGAGTCAGGAAGCTAGCACTTGGCCCAGCTGGGCTGCCTGAGGGGCCAGGAAGCTTGTTGGGGCAGCCTAGCAGAAGTGGGCACGGCCTGGGACCCAGAAATTACCGTCCCTGGTACAGCAAAATCCCGCATCCAGGACCAGTCAAGACCTGAGGGGGCCAGACCAGGGAAGTCCAATCTGTACTTTGAACATCAAGTACCCCACAAACTGGCTGGCATGAACTTCCTGAAGGGAATGGCAGGTCGTAACAAAAATGGATGGTCTGCAGATTCATGGCCACTTCAAATGCAGGCAAAACTCAGTATTTCTTTTCTTCATTAAAAAGTGAAAGTTGCTGACTGACTGGGGCCAGAGGGATTGAATATCTCCATTTATCCAAAGAAAAGGTATTACCACAGGCAATGAATGCTCCTACCATAACCCTTGTCCTCATTTTGTGGCCTCAAACCCAGTTCCTTAGGTACTACACTTTTGAGGTGGAGGTTAGGAAGCTCATGCTCCAAACCCCATTCAATTACTGGCCTCTCCCTAGAGGCTCCCAACAAGGGGCACAGTTCAACTATGTGGCAAATGTTTCCAAGATTCCAGTCAGCTCTAATTTTATCTGTCACAGTTTTCCTACCTCTGCTTAAATCAAGTGACCTCAAAGGCTTTACTGCAGTGTCAGAATTCAATGTCAACTGGCAGGAATTCGGTCGAGACAATAGCACCTTCATTTCCAGCGTCATTATATAACAAGGATGAAAATAGCTGGCTCAGTGCAGTCTCTCTTCCAAGCGAAGAGAAGTTTCCAACAGCTGGTTTTCAGTCAGACACAGTAAATTCTATGTAAATCAGCCAGAAACTGAACTCCTAGTCCAGGGGTGGGGAACCTCGGGCTGGAGGGCTGGATGCAGCCCCTGGCTTGCCTAGATCCAATCACTGAGGCTCATGCTCTCCCCCTCCCCCCAACATTGGGGAGTCCACACTGGTGCTCCAGCTTCTCCCCTCCCCACTGCCCCACCACGGGGCTGGAGCACACAAAATCTACTAGGCTGGGCCCCCCAAGACTCTGGAGTGTAAGGGGAATGTGGAGAGTGTCTTTCTCCTTGTCAGTCAGGCCCACATCTGTGAGGACTTGTTTTTGGTTTTTTTCCCCCTCACTTGTGTGCTGCCCCTGACTTCTGTGGGTCAGTGGCCTCCAGCCTACAAAAGGTTCCCCACCCCATCCTAGTCTCATCATTTCTCAGCCATTTCTCATATACCCCATTCTTCAGATACTGCACGTTCAGCCACATGCAATCAGTCCCTTTCAGATGCATCCCAGAATCATTTGCTCCAGCTCTCACAGCATTTCAGAGAGGGCAGCACAGGGAGTTGTTTGCTGGTGAAGGTGAAGTACCATGATGTAGAGTTGGAAGAGAAATTCACTTCCTGGGTCTTGCCTTTCTCTGCTCCTGTCCCTGAACTCTAGGGCTGTGTCCAGACTCAGGGGTTTTTTCGAAAAAAGTAGCCTTTTTTCGAAAAAACTTCACCTGCGTCCAGACTCAAGCCGCGTTCTTTCGAAATTAAATCGAAAGAACGCAGCTTTTCTTTCGATGGCGGTAAACCTCATTTCACGAGGAAGAACGCCTTCTTTCGAAAGTTTCTCTTTCGAAAGAAGGCGTTCTTCAATGTAAATAGGGCTTCTTCGAAAGAGAGCATCCAGACTCACTGGATGCTTTCTTTCGAAAAAGCAAGCCGCTTTTTCGAAAGTTCAACATGCAGTCTAGACGCGCTCTTTCGAAAGAGGCTCTTTCGAAAGATACTTTCGAAAGCGCCTCTTTCGAAAGAGGCTTGCAGTCTAGACATAGCCTAGATGTCATGTGGATTGAATCAGACATCACAGTGTTCTGCCTGAAGTCGCCAGCCTCCATTTTGCTCATTTCCCATCTACCATTTCTCTCCTTTCAACATTTTCCTCCTTTTCCCAGAGCATGTCTAGACTACATTTTTCTTTCAAAAGAAGATATGCAAATTCGGCACAAATTTGCATATCTTCCAATTGCATTTTCGAAAGAGGTTATTTCGAAAAAGCAAGCAGTCTAGACACAGTTCTTTCAAAAAAAAAACCCTTTTTCGAAAGAACCTTTCTTCCTCAAAAAATGAGGTTTACAGCATTCTTTCAAAAAAGGTTTTTTTTCCCCAAAAGAACCACATCTAGACTGCTTGCTTTTTTTGGGGGAAAAAAAACAACTCTTTCGAAAAAGCGATCGGAA